CTTTTTTTAGTAAACCCACAAAGTTGTTGAGCCTTTTTCCATAAAAGCTACAAGAATTTGGGGCTTTTTTAGGCATTGAAACCCTCTATGGGTGCTAATGGAAGAGTTCTTTTTCCCCTATGACAGCCCTACATTCTTGTGTGATTGTTTCATACAATCTCACTTGCCCATTAGGCAAGGAGAGATAACTGCCTCGGGTGGCAATACCCACCTGACCCAGCCCCACAGTGGCCTCTTAGCGAATAGGAGGCACAGCTGTTCTCCTCCCACCCTTGTTCCCGATGTAGATAGTTATTTCCACCTTGTTCCTGATGTAGCTCTTCATTCGCCCCTTCCTCCCTGACCAGAGGGACGCCATTTTGTGGCTCACCTCAGGTGCCAAAATGTATTGAGCTAGCCTGCTGACCACAACTTAAAATTCACCCCAGTTATTGCATAATGAATTGTGGTGTCAGTTGGCTTTTCCTCTGTACCGTTCAATGACGCTTGTTTCATCAGGAGTTACTTTCTGGTGTTGTATGTCATCCTCATGCTTTACTAACCAGCTCAGCATGCATTACACTAAGATTACTTAAGGCTGCATCTTACAATGCAGAGGCAGCTTGAAACTTCGGTTCATGACGGCTGCACCTTTTAACTAATTTATATGTTCTTTAAGAGAATGAAATACTAGAGTGAATGACTAGTAAGTTGGAGACTAGGGTTCAAATCTCTACTCAGGTATGAAGCCTACTGAGTGACTTTGGGTCAGTTACTATCTCTCAGCCTAGCCTACTTCACTGAGTTGCTGTGAGGATAAAACGGAGAGGAAGAAGAGCATGAACACTACCTTGAGCTTCTTGGAAGAAAGTTGGCATATAAATGTAATAATATAAGCCCCATCTGCATTATACATGTAGAACAGTATCATACTAATTTAAGCTGCCATGGTTTTCCCCCAAAGAATCATGGGAGCTCAAGTTCCTAAGGGTGCAGAGAATTCCCCTCACAGAGCTATGATTCCTAGAGTTCCCTGGGAAGAAGGATGAATTGTTAAACCATTGAAATTATAGCTCTATGGGGGCAATAGGGATCTCATCAACTCACAACTTACACACATTTAACTTGTGCACATTCAGCTTTACGTGCTTGGCAAAAGTTAAAAAAATTAAAAGTGGGTGGAAATGGGACAGGCATCCAGGAAAAAAAGGCTTTGGCAACCCTACCTGCCATTGATCCAGTGTGTTTTGACTAGACACAATTTTGGTTGTGCACGCTATCCCCAAAAGTTCCAGAACATAACCCCTGTGTAAGTTGAAAGTTGTCCATACTCTTAACAAGTTCCCATGATTCTTTGAGGAAAACCATGGCTGTTTAAAGTGGTATGGCATTGCTTGTGGTACAGTGCAGAAGTGGCCAAAAATGAAATAAATACTCTTAAGAGCCTGTCAGCCATTATCCTGAGGTGGCAGCTTAGAAGGGTTTTGACAGGCATTCTTTGCCCATAGTATATTATGCGTAACTGGTGCTGGATCCTTCCTTTCCCAATCCCCCAAACTGAGCTCCATAGCAAACAAACAAACCTGCCCAAGACAGCTATATGGTGTAAGACTATCAATGCATGTGGAAGCTGATGTATCCTACTTCCATGAAGCCATTGTAAATCTTCAACGGAAGTAAATTTGGCTAATACAACTTTTGCGCTTTTGCCTATGGATACAATTCAAGGATTCTGTCAGTATTTGTAATTAACAGTGCTTGGGGGGGGGGGTAGGAGGGCCGTCTGCCTCATTTCTCCCCCAAAATTAACTTGGCAACTCATTTTCTTAAAATGAAGGATTTAAATCTTAATGGAACAAAACTGCAGACCAGCTTCTTCCAGCATGCTTCGTGAGTCAACCTGGACTGCCACCTAAAAAATATTCAGCGCTTGACTTCAGATATCAAACACTAGCAGCTTAAGCACATGAACAAATTCAATATGGCTTCACCCAGCGCACGCATTTTGCCATAAAAGTAAAGTGACTGGAGAGAGTGCAACTGTTCATATTCTGAGAGGTCAGGGGAAGGCTGTTTTATTATCTGCCATGCATTTGATCCTATGAAAATTGTTCCTTTTAACAGAACTTGTAATCTTTAATGTTGACTTCCTGCTGTTCAATTTACACATCTTACTTGCTCAAGCTGACATTCTTACTTTAAACTTCTTCTTTTTTGCAGTCTTCTTTGTTCTCCCTCGTGTTATGTCCCCTACTTGAAGAGCAATCTTCCTTCTAAGTTGTGCTGGCTAGCGAGCAGGGAAATGCCTGCCCTAAAAATCCCTTCCCACCCTGTCACAGATTTAGAATTATAGAACAAATATAGAGAGAGGCTTTGGGAAGGTTGTAATGCGTGGCTTCTACGAAAATCCATCAGCCCTGACCCTGGAGGCATGCAGCATTTGAAATGAAGCTTCAGAGCACTGACTCTTTAGTGCCTCTCAAACTCCAATTAAAATGAAATTTTTAAAAAGCGTTAATTTCATTTATGGGGTCAACACAAGGCAAGGAATCAGTGGAACTAGTTGCCGGGACCTACCAGGACTAAAATATCAGCCCTGATGAGACTCCTACCCAGCTGTTATCAACATGGGACTGAGAATCACTTTAAAAAAAACAACAGCACAGGGGATTTATTTTATTTATTTAAGAGATGGCTCAGCTCTCCAAAGCCAATGTTGAATTGACTAAGAAATGACCTGGCGGGGGTTGGTAAATTTCCTCCAGCACTCCACTTCCCAAAACATGACCACCCTCTTCTCTTTCCTTACTTGGGCAGCTGTGGCAAAGGACTAGCAGAGTCTGCTACTCTTCCCCTCCATAACTTCTCTCCCTTTCTTTCCATCAGCTTATTGCGCTGGGGAAAGGCATGGGGATTCATATTCTTCTCAAGGATTGCCTCCTTAGTTCTGAGAAGACTACAAAACCAAAGGATTAGCATGCTACAGTGACAGAGAGTGGGTCTCCCCATAAGCCACCACTGCTCTCATCACCACCACCACCACTGCCCAGATAAGTAAAGGGAGAATATTTAAGAGAGTCAGGGCTTGAAGTACAGTAGTGCCTTTGGGAGATAGGGAGGCCTGGTGTGAAAAGAAGAAGCAGGAAGCCAGGACTTCTTCTCTGGCTCAGATTTAAATCTGGGCCAGAGAAGAATTGTAAATTCGCCTTCCCGACCCCTAAAGTTATTTCCCAAGCCCACTTCAAGAGCAGCATTTCTAGTATCTGTGCCTTTCACTTTGCAATCTAGTATGTTAGCCAACCCCTGATAAATTGAGCTGGGTGCTGGTGGACCACCACAGAAGGCTGGGTAGAACCAAAGGTTTTGCATCCCTGATTTATCATAGCAATGACACAGATTGTGGAGCCAGTCATTGTGCCTGAAGAGCAATCACATCCCTAAATGGGACCTTGAGACATCAGTTTGAAGCTTCAGGCCCAACTTACCATTGTCTACCTACCAGTCTCCCACAGATCTGTCTTCCCAGAAGGTCAGTCATTCTTCGAAGCCCAATCCAGGTAAAGGTCTGTCCCAGGCTACATGCTGTATACTTGTGAAGTTGTTGCTGCTAGCTTCTGCCAGTTATTATAAATTAAGCACAGCTATCTGAGAGGGAGACAGGGGGTTGCACCTTCAAATGGCTATCTGGAGAATAGAATAGCCCTCAAGAAAACTGAAGTCGGCCAGTCCTGGCATATGCAGTGTGTCTTAGTTAGAAAGTCAATGCACTTCAGAAAGTTATATACAGATGGGCGAGCCAAACTGCACCCAGTCCTTTCCTCATCTTACCCTCCCTTATGGTAGCTTTCAACAAAGTTGCACTAGTGCAAATTTGATGCATAATACAACTGAAGAGTCACCATACTCCTTGGTCTCTTTGGCCTGTGATATGAGAAGGAGAATCCAAATGCTTTGCTGAAAATGGCTCCATATTAAACAATGATGCATATTTTCTTTACCCTAAGGGCTATGTCAGTTCCTGCAAAACTGTGCAATTATTAAGAAAGACATATAAGGCTCCTTTTCAAGTGTTATGGGATATATGAAAATGGGATGCAGTGTCAGCATGCGTGACAACATGCAAAAGCTGTCGCTGTAGAAAAGAATTGTCTATTAAGTATACCACTGAAGATAACTCTGTAGATAGCTTGAGAAGAGAGCCAGAACTCAAGAGCTTTCATCTAACATGATTTGCTTAGACTACTGCTTCTTAGTCACAGGGTCTTACACTTCTTTATACTAACCCTTGAAACATTATTCTTGATGTTTGTACTTTGAATTTAAGGTGGACATTCCTGGATTGCCTTGATAATGGAAATTAAATGTAGGTTATTCAAATACGAAAGTTTCCGTTTGAATTCTTCAGTGTTTGGGGCATTTATCCAAGCAAAGTCCCATCAACCAGGCCTTGTTGTGTGCACACTGCTGTCATATCACAAGGCCCTGTACTCAAAGAAATTGAGATCCACTGGTTTTGCTCTCCTTGTGTTATGCAGATGTTCTACCACAAATCAGAATGTTCTGAGCAATTGTGTGTGGCACCTCACAGCAGTTTAACAGCGACGCATTCTTTTTGGCGTATTGTCCTTTTCTCCGAAGGAACCTTTAGAAATGGAGTAATTAAAGTGAGATGAAAGCAGCATTTCTGACCTTGACGTACAAGCAACAGCATGATCGTGGTGACGGGAAAATGGAGAAACAACATGTCCAATGTGAAAATGCGTGTAAACACCATTCATTGTTCTCGTTGGCTGATGCATGCTGAGAAACAAATGCTTCTTGCTCATTTGCATTGCAAATCTGAAAGCGCCCGCACCTGAAAGCCCAGTTGAAAGAGTCCCTTCCGTGATTAGGGACCTTGCTATTCACAGAACGTAATTCCAATTAGCTTTGTTATCTTCCTTTGAAAACCGAATGAAGGATACCAAGGCAAGTGACATTTCTTTCTTATCCTCATTCCCTCCCCCCCTCCCCCAACACAGAAAGCCAGGCTCGCTAGGATCCATGCTGCGAAGAGTGGGACTGCCAACGCATACATGCAGAGCAAAAGGAACGGCTTGCTCAGTAACCAGGTAATGAGCGTGCGCATTCTAAATTCGGAAAAAACATTCAATAATGCCCAGCAATCCGTGTTCTGTTTCACATCAGAGGCCTCCAAACCTAGAATGACAGTCAGTCTGAGGAAGGAGGCATTGTGCTTCTTAAGAGGAAGCTGTGACAGCCAGGTTTCCCTTGGGACTCAGTCAGCTCTTTGTCGAAGGTGATGGAGCCTTGCCCGCTCAGCTCTGAAAGCAGCCTTCATCCTGTGAATCTCTGATACAGCTCCCAAGAGTTTGCAGCTGCCGTCCAGAAAGCATCTCCCCTTCGCATACAGACAGGGGCTGGATCTACACATTTGCAATTTTCCATTGGCTGCTGTACAGTGCCTCCTGGTGTCACATTCTTATAACGCATTTATAACATTATAACTCACCAGGATAGATTAATCCAGGCAGACACCCCATTAAATAGCATGGACCAAATGCCTGCTGGTCTCCACCAAGTTTCATACTGGTCTACAACTTTGATGCATAGTATATTACAGATGACTGGTCCCTGCTATAATGAGGATGTGCTTGCATCACAATCCCTCTCCTGCAATTTATCTCCCCTTGATCTATCTATTCCTGACTCTCTTTCTGTTCACTTATTCCTCTGCTAAATCGCACATTATTGCATCACATACATTAAAGGGCAGGCAAAGAGATGGAAGACAGAGCGTAAACCCACATCTAAACAAACTTGTGATCAGCAGTTTCCTAACCTGCCCACTTTAATGTAAGAGGTGAAGTCATCTGCAGCAAACAGCAGGCCCTTTATCACTAGCAGTTCCAGAATTCTGCAATCACTTCCCTCAAGAGGTGCAGGTCTATATTCTTTCCTCCTGACATGGAGGTGATTTTCTAAAGCCCATTTATTCAGGAAAGCTTTAGAGCATTAAGAATTGCTGGCTATCCTTTGAGACGCTTTTAGATCGCGCTGCAGAGTGTGCAGCTATGTTACTTAACATATGGAGTTTGTTACAACTTATATTGATGAGAACCAGCGTAGACGTATTTTTTTTTAAGGGATTAGAATGTCAAAAGGATCCTTCATAGAGGATAGCTTTGATCAACAGCTACTGTGGAGGGCAAACCGGTCATTTGCTTAAATGCTTCCACTTTTCTTGGCCTTAAGACCGAATACTTCACCTGAAATGAACTGTGAATCAGGTTATTAGCAGGGGTGGGGGCTCAATGAAAGGATTTTTCGAGGAAATCTAATGATCAGTGGATATGCGCAAGTTATTTTATATTAATTGGTATTTCCACAAAACAGATCTCTTTATAAATTGTCCAGATGTGCTCTGATCAAGAACTTAGTTTAAAGTCTATTTCTTCACAACTGAGAAAAATATAATATTCAATGTATTAACAGTTATGCGGTGATGAACAAGAGGCCTTTGTTAGCAAATCTGGTTCTTCCTTTGAAATCCAGCACCACCACCTGCTCCACTGTCTGGAAAAAACCACGGTAAGATGATAAACCTGCAGCTTCCTTGTGATCTGAGAAAAATAAATATGGTGTTGATTTCCTGTTCTCTTGTTGCTCTTAGTTAAGAACTACTCTGATGAAGTAGATTTTCATCATACTTAGCAAGTGAAATTTCATGAAGTGGCAGTTTCCTGAAATTATTTTGGTGGCAGAATTTATATGGAAAAATGGCACTCATTTGTGTTTTTATTAGCTCTGTTGAGAATACCGCTGTGCTTGAATGATGAATAGCTCAGTTTAACCTATGAACAGCTTGATCAGATAATTCGCTGGCTGAGTTGCATACTCTCCAAGATTTTTCTGATCAAAATAGGGACATCCTATTCCATCATTGTCATAATTTTATTATTTATACTCCATCCATCTGACTGGGCCACTCTGGGCCACTTCCAACATATACAATATAAAAACATAAAATATTAAACATTTAAAAAACTTCCTTATACAGGGCTTTCCATTCAGATGTCTTCTAAAGGTTGTATAGTTACTTATCTCCTTAGCTTGGGGGTTGCATAACTCCGTACCCTCCAACATTTCTTTGATGAAAATAGGGGACGCCCTAAGGAAATACAGGACATTCTGGGATTAAATCAGAAACTGGGACAGCTTCTGTAAATCCGGGACTGTCCCTGAAAAATAGGGAAACTTGGAGGACTATTTGTAGTAACCACTGGCTCCCTCCAGCAAAGTGTGCAACACTGTTCATACTTGCCCCTTTCCATATCCTGAACTTTGCATCCCCGTTCCTGAGTCCTGACAACAAAAAGAAAGAAGATAGATCCAAGGGGAAATCTGAATATGAAAAAAAAGCTATTGGAAATGCAACAGCAGTGCAGGCAGTTCTCTCAGCAGATACCAAAAATGCCATATGATAATTCTGCTGGCAAAATTGTACTAGGTTGGCTGCAAAAACTCACTTCCTCCAATGAGGGAAGGCTTCCTAACTTGGAGGAAGCTCCCTTTGTTGGAAGTAGAGACCTTTGAGTTCAGTAGTGGTTTTATTATATGCATTTTTCTTTTTCGCTTTTGCTCACTGCAAAATAGAAAACGTAGCCTCTTGTATTCCACACTGGACCATTATATGGTGTTTGTTTTCATCGCTTTCAATGACATGAGCCTCATCTGCTCCTGGAAGCTCAATCAGGTGTGGATGAAGCTCCTGTGTTCAGAAGCCACCTGATGTTTCAGGGCCACTGCCTTGAGTTTGGCAGCTGAACGAGTCTGAGTTATGAGGAGTTCCACAGCGCCAGATTTGATCCCTTTAAAAAATAGTGTCCGTTAAACATGAAAGGATGGCCTTTTTGTGACAGGGCTCACCCACAGGAAGTACTGTTTGCCCTGCGTGGCAGCCATTTTGTGCTGGCACACGCAGCATTTCGATCAAAAGCATGAGTGCCAGCACCCTGTTTTTTGACTTTTAAAAAACCACAGTTGTATGTGCACTCCTATTTACCATCTGTACGCCACACTGCATCCTGTTTTGAAGCATACATATAGCAGACTGAAATGCAATTCAGAGTCTTGCAGCATGAAACTGAGCAAAGTTTGGGGTCTGTCAGACTTCAAGTTAGCAGCTCTAATGATGCAAATTTTTTAAAAGCTGTAGAAATCTGTAGAAATCTGCAGCCCTAATGATGCCATTTTTTAAATAAGCTATAGAAATCTGAATCAGAAGTGTTGTGATGTGGGGTTTGTGATTTCAGCTCTCTTGACATAATATGCTGGAGACAGTTCTCTAGTAACACTTCTTTATTTAAGCAACAAGACTGAGGCCTGAGGAGGGGAAAGCTACATTTATAGGGACAGGGATCCAGTGGCGTAGCGTGGGGGGTGCAGGGGGGGCCAGCCGCACCGGGTGCAACATCTGGGGTTAGGGCAAATCCACAGGTTAGGGGGCGCAAATCCACGGGTTAGGGGGCGCAAATCCACGGGTTAGGGGGCGCAAATCCACGGGTTAGGGGGCGCAAATTACTTGCCTTGCCCCGGGTGCTGACAACCCACGCTACGCCACTGCAGGGAACTAGCTAGAAAGGATACATTTCGGAGGGAACAATATCAGGCAATCACAGTCCTGCCTTTTGGAGGGAACCAATAAGACAGAGGATCCAAATACAGCAGCTTAAATGAACCAATAGTAGCTGTACCCTCTGGAACCAAAAGGCAGTTACTTTACCCTAATGCAAATACAGACAATAATAATACAGATATAAAATCCTTTGACTCAATACACAACAAGAAGGGGACCTTGTTTTTGCTACTTGCCTTATTTACTTGGGCTCTGTGCTGCTTTTGTTTAAACTGCTTTAAGTGAAGGGAATTCAATTGGCCGTATTTTTGTTTTAAGGCTGTTACCGATATGGCTGACTGTGATATATTGGGCAGGAAGTAAACGATACAGAAGAATTTGGGTCCCCCCACCCTTCCTTCTGCTGTTATCGTGCTTCTGATTACATTGCTTATATTTTGATACGGTTCTAAATTATTTTAAATGTTGTAAGCTGCCATGGGAAAACATTGCATTTTGAACAGTTGGGCTACTAAATTTATTAAATAAGCAAACCAGCTCTCTTCCCATGAAATATGAACGAGGCCGAATCTTGAGCCATGTGGAAACTTTCATTTATCACAGCCGCTTTTAGCTTTAATGCTGTTTTACTTTCTAAATCATGTTGAGCAGAATCACGACTTCCTGGATGAACAAGCCTACGAAGAAAGCTGCATGGAAGTGTCCGCTGTCAACAGGCAGTCCAGCCATAGTCCTTCCCTCTCTTCTCAACATGGAGTGACGAGCTCTTGCTGCTCACGGAGACATAAAAAGACATTCCGCATCCCGAACACTAACCTAACTGGCAGTCGCCCAAGTAGTGTGCAAGAACTCAGTACCATTCAGATCAGATGCATGGAAAGAACACCTCTGTCTAACAGGTACTTCAGCTTAAAAATGACCCCAGACAGAGATAGCATTATGTTCGCTCTCCAGGCAGAGATAACATGATGTTCGATCTTGCCTATCAAAGAATTGGCATGGAGCATGTGTGCGTGTGTGTGTATGTGTGTGTGTGCCCGTGCAAAATATTGCTCTGTTTGGGGTCATAACCTGTGTTCTGTAATATTACGAGAAAAGCTGTTTCCTAGTCTTGAATGTAACGATTTTGAAGTGCTTAACTGGCAGAGCAACAGTGAATGAATGTCAGTTCTTTTAAATATCAAAGCAAATCATTTGTGTAAAATGTTGGGCTCTACTGGAAACCACATTTTGAGAGACTTTGAGTAGTCCCATTGTGACAAGGCACAAATGAACTGAAACCACCTATGAATTCAATATGGTCAGTATGTTTACAGATAGCTGTTCACAAGACCATTTGTCATACTTCCCCTTGATAGATGACCTCATTTTTTTAAAAAAAACTTAACTGCACCAGGATTGAAAATCTTTATTGAGAAAATATTGCTGTGTGGATGAGCACTGAACTTACTCATGGCACTGGGCAATATTGTGACTACAGGTATATCAACTGATCTCATACCATATCACATGGGAGAGGTGTTTTTTAAAAGGAAAAGAAAAGAAATCTATTAAATTAATATTATCAAGACTTAATATTAGTCATATACTGAAAGATTCTCATATCTATAACATGTACATAATATGACTGAGATTTATGACCTTTTTTTGTAAAATGGTTAAGTCGAAATATGCTAGCCTTTCAGGGCATTTTAATAAGGTGCATTGGTCTTGTGAAAGCTTATAATCACATTGTAATAATAGCCTCCAAAACAACCAAAAGAGTAATTTGTTGCACCAAAATCTGTTGCAATTCAAGGATTTGTATACACTGACATGCGCACAGAGTTTTGCATGTGCAACATGTTCCATTTATTTTCAGAGAAACCATGATCTTTACTAGCACTTCTTTGCACCCCAATATGGTGGCCTACACTGAAATGAATGTAGATAGACGAATTGCACATGTCTGTGACTCAGGTGTCCGCACTTATAACATCTATGATATCTAAGTTGGTTATCTAATGTTAGTAACTGAGGTCAGCTGTTCCATTACTCTCAACAGCAAATACAGCCACCTGAGATGCCACCAGTCACTAGGACCAGTATGAAGCTGTAGACCAGAAAACCGCCTTGGTGTTCTGTTCATGGTGATTTCACAGACCTGCCTACCTTTGTAGTGCTGTGTTTCTTTCTTATCTACAATGAAGACATGGTCCCTAATTGCTTCCATGTAAAATGTGTTGAGGCTGGTGGATGAACAGTAGAATAAGCATTGGAAGAGTCTAATAGACATTTGAGTTGCATCCTACATGCTTTTGTGACATACCAGAATTGACTAGAAAACACTAAGCAGATGGGACATTTGTATAATTTTTTTTTATCCATTGGTTGTTGTTTTTGTTTGTTTTTTTAAACTTCTCTAGCCGATCCAGTTTAAATGCCAAAATGGAAGAGTGTGTTAAACTAAACTGTGAGCAGCCTTATGTAACCACAGCAATAATCAGCATTCCAACACCGCCTGTGACTACGCCGGAGGGAGACGATAGACCGGAATCTCCAAGGTACTCAGGAGGAAACATTGTCAGAGTATCTGCTTTATAAAACAGTTAGAATAAAGACCACTCGGAAGCTGAAGTGCGGCCAAGAGCATAAGATCCCGAAGAAAGAGGGACACGACAACTCTTTGTTCAGTGGAATGGCCAACAAGAAAAAGAAAGAAAATTTGAGTTTCTGGAGATGCAAAACATTTGGGGTTTTCAATATTGAACTGTGTGCTTTGGGCAACCAAATGGAATTTCTACACATCACTTGAACTTTTCTGGAGCAAACTCTTCTGTGACTCTTTTGATTTACTCTATGAGCACAATGAAAGGTCTCCCATTGATGCTTCTTCTTACCAGGAAAAATCTTTTTGATAAAATATCTAAAAAAAAAAAAAAACCACACCCGGCAACCCACCAGTCAGACAGTTCCAAATGAATGCAAAACCAAGACTGGAAATGAAGTTTTGATAATGTGTCCCCCTTTTTCCTGTTGATAAACCATGAACCCATGTCCAAGTGAGTTTAAAAGAGATAGTGAGAAAATGGCTCATACAATATTTGTATCGATTGAAAGAAACACAACCATAATGCATGTGAAAATTCTTTGGAGCTGTGATCTGAGTTTACTTCTGTTGTTTCTTTCAGGTTAGGCATGATAACATTTTACTGTAGAAAAGGGACATTTCTGTGCACTTACAAAAAAACAAAAACTGATTGTTAATGTTCCATGGTTGTGCAAATAACTTCCTTTCTTGTGGGGGAAATGAAGTATTTCTCACTTGAAACATGCATTAGTGAACTTGAGGTGTTCAGTTAGTTTAGCATCTATCATTCTTTTTGCTTGCTTCCTTGGTACTGTTACAACTGCAATAATTCAACATACACCTCTTGTATCAGGAATCAGGCCTTTATGTATAAAACTGCACAAATTCAGCTACACAGGTAACATAATCACCCGGATAGACAGTAAAGTATTTTCTGTTGTATGAAAATGTTTTGAATAATTTCAAAAGCAAAATTTTTGTGTCACAGATGTTAGCTTTTGGGTTTTTTAAAAAAGTTTATTTAATTCTCATTACCCTGTAATTCCTTAAAGCCAACCATTGCCTTTCGCTGCATTTCTATCCTCTTTGAATGTCAAGGGTTTCCATAAATTAACTGAGAAACCCTGTTTTATGAACACCATCCTTTATGTTTCCTGAAAACGACAGTCTTCCTAGTGCAGTGATACAATGTAAATCTCATCCAAAGTGACAATCACTTGGTTTAGTGATTAACATCTCTAAAACGTCGCTGTTATGTTGTGCTATTAGACAAGCTGAGCACTGGGAGACATGCAAGTTAATTTGCAGAGGATTACGAAAATGTTGATTGTCAAATCTGTAGTCGGAAACACTTAGTAATGCAATACCCTCAACAAGGATGAATGGTGAAAAGGACCTAATTTTGCAAAAAAACTGTGACGTCAAAGGATGTACCCCGATAGGATTACTCATATAATTGTAGGAACAATACACAAACTTTACTGTTTAAATCTCTTTTTTTTCTTTGTTTGTTTCATTGTCCAAAGGATTTTTAAAATGCTGTTTCCAGAAAAGTAACTTTTCTCCACCGTTGCTAATTTGTTTAGGGACATGGTGGGTTGGTTTTTTTCATCTTTTCAAATCTTCAAGATATTTCTAAGTAAGAACGTGTAACCAAACATTGAAGGTGCTTCTCAAGAAACTACTAAATAGATTTATATAGCACCTCTGCTAGAATGGGTCCTATATGATTGTGTATTAACAGATGTGTCTTCATCTAGTCATTGAATACACTGCTGTATGGAAGTAAGGATGTCCTTACATAGTTTCTTGTCTGCAATTATGTCATATTAAAAATAATATATTGGATGTTGGTCATCAGATGCCATCCTCATCTATTCCCAAATAATTTGTCTAGTATGGGTTAGTTACATCTATTACTGTAACATTATGTGACCAGCATCACACCCAAATACATTTCACATTGCCACAACATTGGATCAGAGGATCATTTATAAGAGAGGGGATGGGGTATGTAGAATTATAGGCTCTCCCAGAACAGTCCTCTGGACGGATTAGCCATGCTATATCAGTGCATTAAGAGTAATAGTTCTTGGAGTGGGCAGGAAAATATCTCCCTTTGGTGTGGCTCCCCCTCCACTGAAATTGAATCAAGGGGAAATGAAATGAATTGTCATAACGTTATACATACAAGAGCAGAGGATCACAGGGATTAAGCCGGGGCAACAGAGACATGTTCATGCAGGTATCATTGGTTGCACAGGTAAAACTCCCTTTTGGGAGCCTGGTTCTAAAAGAGGTGGGGAGGTTGGGGGTTAATAAAAGAAATTGTAGATTTCTTGCATATGTATATGTATATGTATACATACACAGACCAATGATGAATGCAAGGCAGAAAGTGAAATAACTTTTGCATATTCTGGCATTTTTTTCACCTAGGCCACATTTATCTGCCCTGGAAATTATCCTCTCCAAAACGCGCTCATCTTAGCGCTTAAGTTGTTGGTACTCAGTGCACCAGAAGTAAGTCTTTTGCCAGTACGGTGGCCAGGTGAAAAACAGAGCGATCTAAGGGCTGTGCCTAAGAACTAGGCAGATAGAGGCATCTGCTAAAATCCCCTCTTCTATACAATTGTTATGGAAGCAGGAGCCCAGTCCTCCTCTTCCTCCCTCTCTCCCGCCCCCATTGCCAGGACTTAAGTTTGCACCAATTGGTGGTATTTCACACGAGACATTGTGGCAGATACTGAACTAGTTCGGTAACCCATCAGTTACATTATGTGTCTGTGCAGAAGATTTTCAATGGGGCTTCCTGCCAGGTAAGTTTGCATAGGAAACGTTACACAAAACGGTCAAATTGGTGGGGTTTTTTGTTTTTGTTTTGTTTTATAAAAGAAGGCAGAAAAGCTGTGATACGTAGGCATAATTTTAATCATTTGCATTGGAACACCCATTCATTTCCGCACACTAGAAAGAGTCTACAGCATTTGCAAGTGACATCTGGCCCTTTTTACTCAACTGACGTTTTTTATAATATGCAAAACTAGAGTTTTTTGCTCTCTGCTGTAATCTTTCTAAGTGACTCCACTGAAACCACACAATCATTTCATTCTTCAACCGCAGAAACACAGTTCCATTTTGACAACCTGCCGCTGTAACCCTTTACTCCTGCGGAATATGAACATTTTCATATAATGCGCTGGAAAATGGTGAAGCAGCCCTTGGCTTGCCTCACCATGCAGGGAGTGCGAGATCTGCTCTGGACTCTTAAAATAAAAAGCAAGAAAGGGCAGCTCAACGTTTACAAACTCTCCCTCCGATTAACTTTGACGAGAACTCACTTTGTTTGCAATTTGTGTCAATTTCAGAATCTGAAACGGCTTCCGCTTCTTTTAGTAACATTGTACTTCTGAACTGAGTTTAATGAATGTTAAATTTGCCGATAGAATATGGCAGCCACAGAAAACTCCTGGAGACTAAAGACCTGGTCCAGGAGATGCACTCTGCATGCAAAAACAGGTTATAACACAGAGATCTGCCACACCGGTTTCACAAAAGGCCTTTGTGCAAGAGGAAAACAGAGCAGAACCACAATGATAAGATGCGTCCAAGACCCCCAATCTTGTACCCTATTGAAACCCTGCTGGGATTTAAATATGCAGTCTCTAAAGATGCTACATTCCTTGTAGAACAGGTTACATTCCAGCAGTGTGACCTTCATGCAACCCTCTCTGCCCCAGCTGCCCTTGAATTTGGTAAGGATTTTCCACAACGCTCGTGGGCCCCATCACCCATGCAAAAATGTTATATTTTCTCCCCTCTGAAATTCAGATGCTAAAACTTCTTTTTGTGTTTTAGGTGATTTAAATGCTGTTTTTCGGTAGTGAATGACTTGGCGACTGTGTAAAATGCATCTGTGCTGTAAATGAAATGTAATTATTTCTGTGTATCACACAAAAGAAACCAAGGTTGTTGGAGTTTTTTGACAATTTTGGAGTGGGGGCGGGGAGATATGAAACTGATATTGTACTTCGGAAAGGCGGTATAACAAGATGTGTTACGCTGAATAAATCGGACATCTGAGGAATATTTAAATAAAACTTCTGCATGCTTGAATGGGACAACTGGTTTTGCCATAACCTCATTCAGGAAGCGCTTTGCTCCTGCCTGTATTTCAAACAAAGCTCAAGTGAATGTAAGAAACCTTTGCTAAAGGTCCTCGTGTGCTTCGAGATGCCATTCATTCTACTTATGGTGCAGGCAAAAGCACCACTTTCTTCTGAACATCTGTCTCTCCTCCATCGACTCAAAATAGCACATTTTTTACTGTCCTACAAAAAACACACACCCTCTAATGCATGAAGTCTCTTCAAATCCTGTTCAGCACCTGTACACACATAGTTCTAGTCTGATCATCAGTCATAAAGGTAAAGGTAAAGGGACCCCTGACCATTAGGTCCAGTCGCGGATGACTCGGGTTGCGGCGCTCATCTTGCTTTATTGGCCGAGGGAGCCAGAGTACAGCTTCCGGGTCATGTGGCCAGCATGACTAAGCCGCTTCTGGCGAACCAGAGCAGCGCACGGAAACGCCGTTTACCTTTCTGCTGGAGCGGTACCTATTTATCTACTTGCACTTTGTGCTTTCGAACTGCTAGGTTGGCAGGAACAGGGACCGAGCAACGGGATCTCACCCCGTTGCGGGGATTCGAACCACCGAACTTCTGATTGGCAAGCTCTAAGATATGGCATAAGCATCTCTGCTTCCAGGTATTTAATGTGCCTAGGCTACATCTTGACCACAAGCTACAGTGTAGTGTTGGCTAGAGGAAAGCTGTGGTGCAAAAGATAAAATCTGCAGGCTTTAGAGTCTATTCTCACTAAAGCCAGGCACCAGTTTATTTTGGCACAAATAAAAAACTGCCCTTTGGGCAAGTGAAACCATGGGACAGAAGGCAGTCAGGATTGAATTTGATGCATCTGATGAAAAATTCTGATATATAGCATAAGCAAATATTTCTGTATAGGAGAAAAATTACAATAGAAATCATGAATGCCTTCCATATGGGCAGGAATAAATCCCCATCTATTTCTGTAGTTTAATTTTTTTTAAGTAGGCTGTGGACACCTACGTAAATTGGCAGATTAAAAAAGAGCGCCATTAAACATGATCGCTCCAATCTATTTTTACTTACGTGTTGCCAAAGCTTTCCATCTAATGTGTCTAGACAAAGCTCCGTTAAGTGAAGTGAAAGTACAGCTGGAGAACAGAGACCCAAGGAGGCCAAATTTACAAAATTACTCGTGTGAGTTCATTCACCTCATTTGTAATGCACCCGAATCTGTTAATATTCACGCTCAGGTCTACATGACTGACAGTTACCTTTTCTGCCTCCCGGTTCCGGGGATTCTTAAAAGGAAATATTGGCGTGCACTACAGAGATAGAGACATTTCTCCATGCCTGCGATAAAGAAAAGATTGGCAGTTCTCAGGTAATGTCTATTTGTTCTATAGGCAAATATTTGTTATTGGACCCTAGGCGCTGGCGAGGTGCTGTTATCTGTGAAAACACTGCAGTGGCACCACGTGATAAAATGCTGGTTTTAAGACGGCCCCCGAGGAACTGTCTCATCTTGTTGCATGGGAACTTATTTTGAGCTGCTGTGATTTAAGGGCATGCGGATAATTTCCCCAGTCTGGACATATCTTGGGTCCAGAGGGTGACAAAGGCATCCTTGTGGGAGAATGTGCTGGCCTCTGTCTTGAAAGAGGCAGTTATTCCCCTTCCCATTATGCAGTAGACCCGCAACTTATGTTTCCGGGATCACGTCTGAAGCCAAAATTGTGTATAGCCCAAACCCACTGGGTTCAATGGTGAGTGGGAATGCCAAAGTAATATTCCCCACAACCCCAGCCCCTTTTTATATTTCTTTGTGTAAAGGTGAATGTGTACAAGTTGTGGGCTTGCCGTAATACAGTGGTACCTTGGTTTTCGAGCGTAATAATAATAATAATAATAATAATAATAATTTATTATTTATACCGCTCCCATCTGGCTGAGTTTCCCCAGCCACTCTGGGCGGCTCCCAATCGAGTGTTAAAAACAATACAGCATTAAATATTAAAAACTTCCCTAAACAGGGCTGCCTTCAGATGCCTTTTAAAAATATGATAGCTGCTTATTTCTTTCACATCTGAAGGGCGGGCGTTCCACAGGGCGGGCGCCACTACCGAGAAGGCCCTCTGTCTGGTTCCCTGTAACCTCACTTCTCACAATGAGGGAACCGCCAGAAGGCCCTCGGCGCTGGACCTCAGCCCCATCGACACTGAACGATGGGGGTGGAGATGCTTCTTCGGGTATACTGGACCGAGGCTGTTTAGGGCTTTAAAGGTCAGCACCAACACTTCCATTCTGGAAGTCCGTTCGAGTTCCAAAACATTTGAAAACCGAAAACTGAAAGCGGAAGCCTCAAAGCGGAAAACTCAAAATGGAAGCAGCGTTTCCTGTTTGACTTCTGAGGCACGTTTGAAAGCTGAGGCATTTACTTCCGGGTTTTTGGCTTTTGAGTTCCGAAACGTTCGACTATGGAGGCATTCGAAAATTGAAGTACCAGTGTATTAGCTAAATATAAAGAAGACAAAAGTTTCTGTCTACAACACACAGAATCTTAGGAAAATGGGAGGGCAGCTCCCATTTCAAAGAAAGCCATGACAAAATATACGACAGTAGTGGTTTTATTGCCTGCAACAATACACATAGCTTTTTTTTCCTCCTGAAGCACTGTGAGTGCAAACTGGAACAATTTTTAAAACCATAGGAGGACACAAATTTCCACTCGGGCCAGTGCAGTGCTG